TATGGCCCTCAGGCCGGTACTTACCTGTGGCCATGTGACTTGTGGGGTGCAGCGGGGAATCAAAGTACTGTAGGCCAGGCCCGTGGAGGCTGGTGTGCGGCAATGGTACCCCTAATTGGCCTAATGTTCTAAAACCTTAAACCCTACTGTTTTGAATCATGTCATTCTTAAACCCTAAGGTTAGGATGGTCCATTATCACCCTCTCCTTAGCTTGGAGTATTTGGTGAGGCCATATGCAGAAGCTTAGGGTTCTTCCCGTAGAGGTGGGGGTGGCATGCGGGTAGGGGGGTCAGGAAGGCTGTGAAAAAAAACAAGTGAGATGAGGGGAGAGCAGCAGGAGACTTGCGGTGCGTGCAAGGTGGGTGACCACGGCGTCACGGCTCCTTCATCACCTAACCTTAGCTTGGAGTATTTGGTGAGGCCATATGCAGAAGCTTACGGTTCTTCCCTTAGAGGTGGGGGTGGCATGCGGGTAGGGGGGTCAGGAAGGCTGTGAAAAAAAACAAGTGAGATGAGGGGAGAGCAGCAGGAGACTTGGGGTGCGTGCAAGGTGGGTGACCGCGGCGTCACGGCTCCTTCATCAGGGGGAGGAGAGGTGACCGAAATGGCTTTGCTCTCTGACACGAGCAGAAGGAGGAGGAGAATGGAGGAGGAGGGAGGAGGAGGGAGGAGGCTACACCAGCTATGACAGATTCAATCTGGTTGCAGAGTCCTCCTTTGAACGTCCCATAACGAACACCCACAACGACCCCACCAAGAAAGTCACCATAACAGGTGCGAGGCACCAGGCCTCGATATTCAGGCAGCTGCGCAGCGCCAGTTGGTTGAAAGCGCCCAGGCCCTGGCCTCCTTAATCAAATGCATCTGAGTCAGGCCCTGGGCGAGATTCACAGCATGGACCCAACTCAGGCTGCGGACAGTTGGGCACAGGTAACTGTCACTGGCCTTGGGCCTGATCCGTTTGGTCTGGGGCTCAGCCTCTCTGGGCCTACCGGAAGCTTCTGGGCAGGGGCCCAGCGCAGCCAGGCTGCACACAAGGCAGGCAGGCCACTTCCATTTAGGAAAGGGCCTGCACACGCATTCGGCATTCGGGCACTGGCTGCATGCTGTGCAAGCACTGCTGCGCTAACGCTGGCGAGTGCTCACGCGCTCACGGGCGAGCTGGAAGGAGCAGGCAGCCATAGCCGAGCTGCGCTGCTGTATGCTGGATGGGGCGCCTGGTGGTCCTTGGGTGCATGTGGCATCTGTGAGTTGGGGAACGAGGTTGTGAGTGATACGAGAGACATACCTGGTGCTTGAAGCATACGGCATTGGCCGAGATCTGCTCGTACTTCAGGGAGCTGTTGACGTCATCGGCAGCATCGTAGATTAGGCTAGATAGGATCTGCCATCTGTAGTCTGGGCGTCGAGCGCCAGATAGGATATCGACATTGGTTCTTTGTTGATGATGATGAGACTGTTCCAGCATTGTCAATTATGAGCTTTTGCTGTGTTCTTATTTGGTGGAACTCGTGATGCAATTCTGCTATTGGTTCGAGGTCACAACTATCTGGTCTCATGTGTATGATGCTGTTTGATTTCTGAAGTTCGCTATCGCTCATTTTCCTTGCAATTTGGTATCGGAGTCATGGTACGGTGCACTCATCCGGCGCTTGTGGGAAGTGTGTAATGAGGAGGGTGGAGACAAGTGTGGCGACCCAGGAGGTGAGGGGTATCGCCAGGAAGGCTACGTGGTGTTTATTGGGTGTTCGCAGTGTGATGAGAACTATCCGATGTGTGATTGATGCTGAGGTGGAACGGCTGTGCAATGCTGGTTGTGCCGAAGCAGTGATTTGTCATCACAATCAACATCGAGTCATCTGGTGAGAATATATGTGGTTGGGGGAAGTTATTTTGAGGTACGTTGCACCTAACCTTATCTACCCTCTTCGACACTTCTTACCGTGAGGGTGTGTGTTCTGTCTTGAGAGTCCTCTCATGTGAGGAGTCGTGTGCGCTCAACCTTGAGAGTCGTCAGCCTTCACGTGGAGCATCTGGACGGAGAGGGCGGTGCTATCTGAAGGGCCCTGGACGAAGCACAGGGTCATGGTCACCATGCCAACCCACCGGGAGTCGAGCATGCATGCTTTGCTGCTTTGTCCTTTGTCTGCTCACTGCACTATAGAGGGGTTTCGAGGGGCAGGCCAGCCCTATGGGGAACATGAGACCGGACGTCTATAAATAAATACCGGCGGGGACCTTCCATTGGACTTCCTGAGGACTTCGGGGGCCGTCCATAAAAATGTCTTCTGATCAGGACTTGTATCTAAATCTGACCGGGACTGACCTCTTTCACGTAGTACAAGATAGCGAAGCAGAATGCTAGAATACTGATGACAAGCCCAATCAATGTCGCAATGCAGACTAAACATACATCATTCTCACCATAAGGTGTGAAGGGGTCTGGCGCTATACAGAGGAAGAGGGCGCCAGGTCCAGACATGCACAGACGAAGAGGGGATCAAACGAAGAGGAGGGGGGAGATGGGAAAGTCGTCAACACCAAGTCTCGTTACAAGTCCCAAATAATCCCTCGTCAAAATGTCTGAAGTCCAATGTCGAGTCTGGATCCACATGTCAGCAATCCCTCTCTCTCCCTCTAGCAATCCCTCTCTCTCCCTCTAGCAATCCCTCTCTCTCCCTCTAGCAATCCCTCTCTCCCCCTCTCTCATAGTCTGCTGATGCAGTGAAGTCCAGATATCGAGAGGGTGAGAGGGAGATGGTGGACTGAGAAGATGAAGAAGAAGAACTCTCTCTCTCTCATATGCCAGGTACTAACCTGTGAAGGTGGCGCTGTGCTGCAGGTACCTTGAAAACGAAGCAGGAGCGATGGCGCTGCAGGTAAGTCCCTCTGGCCTCCGCCCAATCTCTCTCTTTATGGTACTACTCTAGCTATGGCGCCCAGCGCTGAAGATTACTGCTAACGCTACAAGGTGCCCAACGTTGAAGACTACTGCTAGCGCTAATACTACTCCTGCAGCGCTCCTCCAGAGTGCTGCTGCCGAATCCTGAAGACTCCCTCCTGCCTCCTGAAGTGCACGTGAAGTGCCTGGGAAGTACCTATGAACTACCTGCCGACCTGCAGGGCGGGCCAGTCCTATATAGTGCTGGCCCGTCCGGGAGGCTGCTCTTGCCAATTCCTCAACGTGCCAGACCCTGGGGTTGAAGCTCAAACAAAGGTTGTCTTGAAAATAGACCAGAAATGGCCTGAGCTAAAACCCTGGTCTGGTGCCTGAGTCTCGGGGCAGGTCGAACTCACGAGGGCCCGGAAATGGCCCTCAGTTTCAGGCTGAAAACACTCAGGGCCGGAAAGGCCCTGATTTAGCCTGGAACGACACAGGGCCTGTAGGCCCTTGTTTTCAGGCTTTCGGGCTGAAACGACACAGGGCCTGTAGGCCCTTGTTTTCAGGCTTTTGGCTTGAAAACGTCACGGGCCTGGAAATGGCCCGTGCAGCCTGTTGCAGGCGCAGCATGTAACAACACACCTTGGAACACGCACGCTGTCCGAATCGCTCAGGGACGCTGCCGACAAGAGACATTCATGAACAACTGAGGGAGGGGTAGATTCCAGGTGATAAGTTCGGGCAAGATTCCATTCTGCAAACAGACCCAACTGCGGCAGGCATCAAAGAGTGACCTAGTGCAGATTGTGTACAGTTTTGTAGCTTATGAGCGACAGGAATACCACTAGTGAGGATGATCGGATCTTGCGATCGGCTAGATGTCCGATTGTCGACGTGGCATTAGGACCCGAGGGTGATAGGTTACTGTTCCGCCAGCTTAGGGAGAGGCAGCAGCAGCAGTGGAGAGCTAGGGCAGCGGAGGCCAGCAGGGCATTCGCAAGTGAAGCCGCTGCTTCAGCAGCCATGGCAACCGCTGGAGAGCAGAGTTCCCAAGCCAGCAGTTCAGGGGCCGTAGGGTCAACGGTCGCACAGACCCTAAGTCAGTCCACTGGCGTCATGGAAAGCCAGCCAATAGTGTTGACTTCCGATGAGATCGCCATACAGCAGGCAGCACCGCAGGAGGCACAGCTACAGAAGGCCTTAGGAGAGATAAAGGCGGAGAAGGAAAAGATGATTAGAAGAAGAGCTAGAATGCAGCGGAGACAAGCGGACGTTGGTGAGTTAGAGGGAATGGACCTGACGCACATGGATGCAAACGTGAGGACGTTACGGACAGTCCTGCTAGGTGTTGTAGAGATGCAGGACCACCACACGGCTCTCCTTAAGGACATCCAACAGAGTCTGGCCTTGCTGGTCGGGCGAGCGAAGGCAGCACCATCGCTGTCCGGGCCCAGTGCCTGGCTCGTTGTACAACCTCCTCCTTTTGTCCCATCGGTGACTGGGGTATCCCCATATGTAACCCCAGCATCGGTCCAAGCCGCTTCCCTGGGCATGCCGTTGACAGGAGGGTTCTCAGCAGGTCCTAGTGTACAAGTTCCTGTACAGACAGTGTTTTCCCAACCTTCGTCGCAGGTTGTCATCAGCGGGCAGCCTGCTGTCTCGCAGCCTGCACAGCCGCAGGGTACACAGCCCCAGCAGCAGCTAGTGCAGCAGCCTGCGCCTCAGGGTCCACAGCCCAAAATGGTACAGGTACCGGGACAAAGTCAGTGGGTTCCAAAGACGGCCATCGCTGCTCCTCAACCCTTCACAGGGGACAAGAGGGGCGAAGACCTTGACACATGGTTGAGGTCAGTGCCAGTCTACGTCAAGGGTAAACTTACCTTGCCACACGAGGAAATGCTTGTGGCTGCCTCCTATCTAGAGGGGAGTGCAGCAAGATGGTTGAGTGGTTTAGTGCAGTTGCATGGATACGGTCATGACTTCCACCTTTGGGCAGTCAACCAGAAATTGGAGGACTTCCTCAAGATGGTGGAAGACATGTGATCCTCAGGTGGCTCAAAAGGCCACTGACGCGATCCTGACTTTGCACAACAGGCATTTTAAGTCAGTAAGAGAGGCCACTGATGCAGTAGAGCGTCTGATCTGTGTCCTTGGAGTGCGCTATGACCCCCAGATTTTACTCACCTCCTACCTGAGATGTTTTCCTATGCCTCTCAGGAACCAGTTCGCAGGTGAGGCCAACATCAACATGCACAACTTCCCCTCGTTCAGCAAGAAGGCCCTAGACCTAGAAGACAAGATAGGGCATGGACAAACACCCACGACGGATGGTAGGAAAAAGTCACTGCCTCCCAACTGGAAGGCGAAGGGACTCATCATGTTCTTCGACAACGATGCTTCTACCATCGAGTTGGATGACGACTTCCAAGCGCGAGAGGGTACAGAGGCAGGCAGCGTAGAGGCTTCAGGGGGTGGAGTAGTCGCTGCCTCAGTACAAAAAGGAAAGGCGACTGGTAGACGTTGTGGAGGTTCTCGGTCTAGGAGTCAAGTTGACCCCAACGCTCCTCCATGGGAGAAAGCGGGTCTAACCGAGGACGTGTGGAGAGACCGGTACACCCGACAGGCTTGTATTCGTTGTGGCCAATATGGCCACAATCAGTTCAAGTGTCATAATAAGAAGGTGACCGAGAAGATCCCGCCTACGATGGGGCAGGCGTTGGGATCCTCTGCTCCCGTTGGTAACGATGTAGCCTGCAGTTCTGGCACTGCTCAGGGAAACGCGTCGGGCCAGTAGGAATAGTAGTTGTTCCTGCTAGGGTCGAGGTGGTGGACACACCCTCACCATCTCGAGAGATGGCCCAAGCTATTGACTCCGTTGTCATCCCGCAAACACATTCAGACCCATCGAGCCTTTGTTCGATGAATGTATTTGAGTCCTTAGAGGAGCTAGAGGAGGAGTGGTCCAAATCAGACCCGCTAGCTTCTTGGACGGCATTGGCTAAAGCCCCTAGGAGTGAGATGTTCGTCGGCGAGGTAGTCATCGGCGGTTGTAAGGTCGGGGCCTATTATGACACTTGCTCGACTAGGAACTTCATTAGTCACGCGTGCGTTGAGAGGTTGCGCTTACAGGGGCAAGTGCAGCGCCAGAGTCGACATGTGCCAACAAACAGCACATGGTAGTCAATGACTACCTACAAAACATTGAGTGTTGTTTCCCGTACGCAGAAGAGGAATTGAGACATCGCGTCTCGTTCCTAGTGAGCGATGATCTCCCTATGGATATCTTGTTAGGTATGTACAACCTCTCCGTTGCACAGCCCCAGTTTGACTGGGACCGAAAACTGGTCAAACACACTTTGCCAGGTGGGGGGACCGCCAAATTACGTAAGTTCAAAGCTACTAGTCTGATTGAGTCCTACGGATGCATGTGTGTGGCCGCGTTTTATAACTATTATAAGCAAAACCCGGAGGAGGTATGTATCTAGTATATGTCTCTGCAGCAGGCGAGCCGGTGAAAATGTCGCCAGAGATAGAGGGAGTAGTTGCTAAATACCCTGATCTATTTGAAGAGTCGAAAGGGGTTGTTGAGAGGGAGGTCGTCCACGCAATAGAGATTATCCTAGGGTCTAGCATCCCGAAGGATAGGATCTATCGGATGTCTCCAAGCGAGTTTGATGAGCTTCGCCGGCAACTCAAGGAACTCGTAGAGAAGGGTTGGATCTGGCCAAGTGTCTCCCCTTACGAATGCCCAGTCTTATTTGTGTCGACGAAGGGGGGAACTCTGAGGATGTGCATTGACTATAGGGGCCTCAATGCCATCACTGTCAAGAACCGAGAGGCCCTACGGTGCATCGATGACTTGCTAGATAAAGTGCAAGGGTGTCGGTACTTCAGTAAAATAGATCTGAAGTCCGGGTACCATCAGATTGCAATCCGGCCTGAGGATCAACACAAAACCGCATTTCAGACTAGGTACGGTTTGTACGAGTTTGTGGTGATGCCTTTCGGCCTATGCAATGCTCATGGCACCTTTCAGCACGCTATGAATCGAATCTTTCATGACTACTTGGATAAGTTTGTCATTGTGTACCTCGATGACATACTTATTTTTAGTAAAACTATCGAGGAGCATGTTGCACACTTAGATAAAGTCCTCAGTCTCCTTCGGCAGCACACGTTCAAGATCAACGGGGAGAAATGCAAGTTTGGTCGCACCCGGATCTTGTACTTGGGTCATGAGATTTCCGCGGAGGGTTTGAAGCCTGATGACGCGAAGGTGGCCAGCATTCGTGACTGGCCGCGTCCTCAGTCTGTGACTGAGATGAGGTCTTTCTTAGGGATGACCGGCTACTATTGCAATTTTGTGAAGAACTATAGCATAATGGTCGCCCCTTTGACTGACCTGACTTGCCTTGACACCCCATGGGAGTGGACAACAGACAGGTGTGAGGCTGCTTTCAGACATCTGAAGCATGTGTTGACGCATCATGAGGTCTTGAAACTTCCTGATCCTGACAAGTCGTTCATAGTAACCACGAATGCCATCCAATATGGCATTGGCGCCGTACTTGCGCAGCAGGAGGGGCCAAAGTTGAGGCCAGTCGAGTACATGACCAAAAAGATACTGTCTCAAAAGTTGGCTAAGTCCACTTGTGAGAAAGAGCTCTACGTGATTTATAAGGCACTGACCCATTGGAGACATTACCTCCTTGGGAAGTTCTTCATCGTCAAGACTGATCATCAGACTCTCAAGTGGATGAGAACCCTACCATTACTTTCTGATGCCTTGAAGCGCTGGATCGAAGTCATTGAACAGCATGACTTCGAACCCCAATATCTGAATGGGAAGTACAATAAAGTTGTTGATGCCTTATCACATAGGCCTGATTTCTCTGGTGCGCTGATTACTGAGTTCGGGCTTGTGGACGATGTAACTCGCTCTTTGGTGGAAGCCTATCGCAAGGATCCGTTTATGTCTAAGATCATTTGCAGACTCGAGGCGAAGGACAAAGTGACTTTTGTCGAGTTTGAGTTAGTCAACGGTTTGTTGTTCCTTGAGAAGGCAGAGAATAAACGTTTGTGTGTGCCTAATCGGGAGTCTTTGCGTAGTTTGTTTTTAGGAGAGTGTCATGACGCCACAGGACATTTTGGATATAAGAAGACTTCAACCAATCTGCTGCAGCAATTCTGGTGGCCCACGATGATGAGAGATGCCAAGCTATACGTGGAGACCTGCCAGGTCTGTCAGAGAGACAAGCCACATACACAGGCCCCTCTTTTCGGGCTTCTCAAGCCCCTTCCGATTCCGGAAAGGCCCGATGAGAGCATGTCCATGGACTTCATGGACACGCTGGTCACCAGCAAGAGTGGAATGAGACACATCGTCGTTATCGTGGATAGGTTTAGTAAGTACGCTAGGTTAGTTGCCATGCCAGAGACAGCGAAGACCGAGTACGTCATTAGGTTGTTTAAGGAGAACAAGGTCAGAGATTTTGGCTTGCCAAAGTCTATTGTGAGCAACCGGGATGTTAGATTCACGAGCGAGTTGTGGAAGGCCACAGCTGCAGAACAAGGAACGTAGCTGCAAATGACATATGGAAACCATCCAGAGGCAAACGGGCAAGCAGAGCAGTTAAACCGCGTTGTACAACACCTGTTGTGGCACTACATCAAGCCCAATCAGGTGGACAGGGATGAGAAACTTGCTCTCATCGCCAGTCTGTACAACAACGATTTGCAGAACGCCACAGGGGTGAGCCCTAACAGTTTGCTACAGACTTTCAAGCCTAGACTGCCCCTAGACTTTCTAATGCCTGAGAACCAGCCAACTGCTGCACCTGGCACACTAGAATTTGCTTATCGATATGAACAACTGATGCAGCAGGCAGATGCACAAGGCACAGGCGGCGATGATAAAATCAGAAAATAAGCACCGCCGCCCATCAACATTCCAGATAGGGGACAGGGTCTGGGTTAAGTCTTCAGAACTGGGACAGGAGCACGAGATCTCCCGCAAGCTCATGCCACAATATTTTAGGCCCTGGGAGGTTTTGTATATACTAGGAGATGATCCGGATGGTCCATCATATGTAGTTCAAATCCCTGGTCTCCTTCGCACTTACCCTGTCTTTCACGCCTCCAAGATTTTGCATCATTCAAGGAAACTGACCAGTTTCCCTCGCGACGCTCAATGCTGCCCCCAACCATGGATGGAGAGGTCGACATCGATGACATCGTGGACCACAGGGAAATGTCGGTTCCAAGACCTTCAGGCAGGGGACGTCCTCCGAAGCCGAAGCTGCAGTACCGCGTTCGGTTCAGACACCATACTGATCCAAAGGAGGATAGATGGTTCACTCGGAAGGAACTCATGCAGACCGCTCCACAGGTTGTCGCCCACTACGAGAAGTTGTTGCAGAAAGGAAAGGCTTAGCGCCAAATTGAATGAGCTTCTCAGAGGACTAGCGAAGTATGGAGGAGGGAATGTGAGGCACCAGGCCTCAATAAGCCCTACTAGGCACCTATTTGCAACAGTGTCGGCTGCCCTCAATGAAGACAGGCTCGACAGATGACAGGAGGCTTATTTTGGACTACTTCACAATTGGGGGAAAATTCAGGCAGTTGCACAGCGCCAGTTGGTTGAAAGCGCCCAGGCCCTGGCCTCCATTATCAAATGCATCTGAGTCAGGCCCTGGGCGAGATACGCAATATGGACCGAACTCAGGCTGCGGGCAGTTGGGCACGGGTAACTGTCATAGGCCTTGGGCCTGATCCGTTTGGTCTGGGGCTCATCGTCTCTGGGCCTACCGGAAGCTTCTGGGCAGGGCCCCTGCGCAGCCAGGCTGCAGGCAAGACAGGCAGGCAACTTCCATTTAGGAAAGGGCCTGCACACGCATTCGGCATTCGGACACTGGCTGCATGCTGCGCAAGCGCTGCTGCGTTAACGCTGGCCAGTGCTCATGCGCTCACGGGCGAGCTGGAACGAGCAGGCAGCCATAGCCGAGTTGCGCTGCTGTATGCCGGATGGGGCGCATGGTGGTCCTTGGGTGCATGTGGCATCTGTGAATTGGGGAACGAGGTTGTGAGTGATACAAGAGACATACCTGGTGCTTGAAGCGTACAGCATTGGCTGAGATCTGCTCGTACTTCGGAGAGCTATTGACGTCATCGGCGGCATTGTAGATTAGGCTAGATAGGATCTGCCATCTGTAGTCTGGGCGCCGAGCGCCAGATAGGATATCGACATTGGTTCTTTGTTGATGATGATGAGACTATTCCAGCAATGTCAATTATGAGCTTTTGCTGTGTTCTTATTTGGTGGAACTTGTGATGCAATTCTGCTATTGGTTCGAGGTCACGACTATCTGGTGTCATGTGTATGATGCTGTTTGATTTTTGAAGTTCGCTATTGCTCATTTTCCTTGCACAGGTAGGCTGTCCTCCGGGACATCCGTTAAAATTCGAATGATATAGAGAAGATTAGCATCATGACGGCCCCTGCGCAACAAGGATGACACTCAGGGAGGGATTCCACTGGCTGGCGGTAGCTGGCGGCCAGGAAAGCATCCGCCAGCACAAATCATAACCGATGGGAATGGGCAAGAGAAACGGGACTCCACTGCCACAGCAATTTCGGCACTTCCCGAGGTTTCTGTTACCTGATAAGGAAGACTTGCCATTTCGGGCAAGTTTGCCTCCGCTTTTTGAGCAGCAATTTTCGGCACTTCCCTAGGTTTCTGTTACCCGATAAGGAAGACTTGCCTTTTCTGGCAAGTTTGCCTCCGCTTCTGCAGCACACCAACCAATCCCTGTGCCTCCTTTCGACACGGGATGGCTGGTAGGCTGGTAGGCTGGCGGACTCTAGACGTTGGTCAGCGTACCAGCCATCCCGTGCGGAAAGGAGGCACGAGATTGGTTGGTGTGCCATAAAAGCGGAGGTAGGCAGAGTGGAAACAAAAGTGCTTGCGTTCGCCACCTGCAATGTGGTCTCAAAACATTTTTTCCAACGGCAGTGGGGACCGAGCCTCATAAATCGTGAAATGGTCCTTGACAGGTAGAGGGCTTCTTCCTGCTGTAGACGACAGCCTGCTGAGCATCATAGCGGTAGCAACCAGGTACGCAACCCAACGGTACGCCAGCTCTACCCCTTCGTTGGGGAAACTACCCGGGAGTCACAAAAATGAGTTGTAATTGCAGTATGGGCCAAGATACAGTTTGCAATTGCAGTACGGGCGACGTATACAACCCAGCTTTGTGGCCAGGTAGGGTGCCTGAACTGCAATTGCAAAAAAACTGCATCTTGGCCCATAGTGCAATCATAACTCGTTTTTGTGACTCCCACACAGTTACCCCTTACTGTTTTTCCCTCTCTCGACGGCCTTGCAATATCATCATCCAACAGCCTCCAGTAGAGTTTGAAGTCAGGTCTGTGTTTCAACAGTTCAGGGGTGTTTGTACAAACTGAGCTATGCCAGCTGGGTCCAGCTGTCGATCCACTGTTATGTTTGTCGCACTGCCTTCCCATACCATAACGCACCGTGATAACAAATGTGTACAAGCTATCTTTCCGGTCGGGAACAGGCAAAATGAGGGTGCGTTATGTTTGAGGGGGAACACGGTAGGAGATGTGCACATCTCACGTCGATAGAGAACTTCTTCTTCCTTAGTCCAGCCTCCTAAGCTATTTATTGTTGGTTTCCTTTTTTTTTTTTTTTTTTGAAACAAGGCGAAAGACTAGGTGGCTAAGAGGGCCAAGGCAAAAAAAAAAAAAAAAAGAGGGCCAAGATAGCATAGCAGCATGGATGGTGACCAAACGAGAAAATGAGATCACACTCGTAAACACGTGGTATGTCTTCCAGTTCAAGCCCTGGTTGACTAAAGCTCAACTTCACGTGCAAAGAAGAGAAGAGGATGCAACCACTTTCTATGAATAGGAACGGACGGATGAATCCTACCACTTTCTGAGGAAGATGCACTTGTGCTTTTCTTGTTTCGCCGGTGGTGTGGCGGGTAATGCTTTGTGTTCGTCAGCGAATGTCCGTCATTGCTTCTTCTTCCTCTTTGGTCAGGCGCTGTTTACTCCGTTGGGCATTTAACTTTGACGTCCCTGGCCACAATTTCAGCGTTTTTGGAACCAAAATCGTCAGGTCCTACTGGCGGGAACAGCGTGAGGCAGACGATTTCCGTTCAAAACACGTCGAGACTGCGAAGTTAGAGATGGACCCCACTGCTTTTTGGCAAAGCTTTGGAAGATGAAAAATTGTCAGGGCCTACTGGCAAGAACAGCGTGAGGCAGATGATTTCGGTTCAAAACACGTCGAGATTGCGTCCAGGAACATCGAAGTTAGAGGTGGAACTCACTGCTTTTTAGCAGAGCTTTGGAAGACGATTTGTGAAACCCCACTGATTTGCGGCAAAGCTTTGGAAAACGCTCAGATATGACATGGCAGACGTTTTCACTCAGTTTTGTTTTGCCCGTTCCTTGGGGTTCGGCCATTCCGAGCAGTTAGGGGGGGGGGGGGGGGGGCACCTCCCTCGGTTCGGCCATCCCATGTTCGAATCTTGTATTCGGATTGCACGTGCTTTCGCGCAGTAACCGCCGTAGAGATTATACTACGGGCAGCGTGGCTGTGTAGGATGACTGTGGTTGGGTACACCGTGTCGCGGGATCTTCGTGCTGGGGTGGGGTGAAGTGCTCATGTTGGGGCTTCACTTTCACCCCAGCCCCCACTTAGCCTTATGGTTAGGTGTTAGCCTGCCAAGCCGTTGGTTGTGTGTTCGACTCTTGTATTCGGACTGCACATCCCATGTGGAAAGGAGAGCCGCCACAGATTGGTGTGAGAACCGAGACAAGCAGATGTGAAGTTTCCATATAGGGAAAGTTTTCCTTTTCGGGTAACCGGCAAAAAAGGAACTGGCGAAAATTTGTGCTGCAGTGGGGTCTGCTTTTCTCCTTCCGATCGCCGGGGCCTACGATTTGGCTTTGGCGGAAGCTTTCCGCCTGGAAAGCAGGCAGTGGGGTCCACCACCTCTTAGTAAATAAATGCCTATTTGACATTCCTGGCCGCAATTTCGGCATTTTTTGAACCGCCTGGAAAGCTCTCCGCCAGGCAGTGGGGTCCACCGCAGGCAGTCGAGTCGTAGCCAATGACAACGCGCGTTAGCGCTGTCTCCATGGAGCGTTCAAGAGCACGTGCGCGCGCGTTGCGAGTATAGGCTGCACGTGCGCACGCGTCGCGATTGTTGATGGTGTTCTGGGCGCGCGCTTCCGGGGGCGCGCGCGGGCGTGGCTGGCGTGCAAGGTGGGCTGGCAGGTTGGGTGTGTGTCCATGGTGGTCCAAACAGGCTTTGCTGGCTGAATGGGGGCAGSCGTCTCGTGGGGCTTGTTACTGTGGCTGGCGGGAGTGTGTGAATTACCGGGGATGCACGCATGGTGTGCTAGCACAAGAATGGTCGCGACAACACATCAGCAATGATGGAGAACGGAGCAGGCGCTGACGGGCAACGGGTTTGAACTACATCACTCGTTACCTCCTGACTTTTGAAAGCACTTTCGTGCCATCTCTCCGTCTCGCGCTTCATACGAGTAATGTTGCAGGCTAGCATGCCGTGTGGAGGGGAGTTCTGTTCTTCGTTGAGCAATGCTTCAGGAGTAATCACTTCTGCTCTTTATCTTGCGAATTTGTGCTGGAGGAGGTCGGCTCGTCGCGAGAGGAAAAAGAGTAGAGTGTGTTTCGTGGGGTGGAAGGAGGACTGTTGGGAGGTTATGAGTGGAGGTTCATCTTTGTTACCATATTCGTTGTGATAGCATCATCGTCTCATCACCTTCATCATCATCATCACCATACAGCAGGTAAGTTTTGGATGGTTGGGGTGGATAATTGATCCTGATTATCATCATCATCAAGCGCAGTTTCAGCATCGGCATCATC